TCTTCCTCTCTCCCATTTTAGGGCTCTACTAGTGCAACAGCCTCTCCTCCAGTCTCTACCCCTGTCACGGGGCACAAGAGAATGGTCATACCAAACCAACCGCCTCTAACAGCAACCAAAAAGTCTACACTGAAACCACAGCCGGCACCTCAGGCAGGCCCCATCCCTGTGGCTCCAATTGGAACACTAAAACCCCAGCCTCAGCCAGTCCCAGCCTCCTACACTACAGCATCCACCCCGTCAAGGCCGACTTTCAATGTGCAAGTGAAGTCAGCCCAGCCCAGCTCTCACTACATGGCTGCCCCTTCACCAGGACAATTTTATGGCCCAGGGCCAGGGCCGCAGGGCTATAACACTCAACCAGTTCCAATGTCTGGCCAGTGTCCACCTCCTTCGACACGCGGAGGCATGGATTATGCATATATTCCACCTCCAGGGCTTCAGCCTGAGCCTGGGTATGGGTATGGCCCCAGCCAAGGGCGCTATTATGAAGCCTATTGCCCAGCGGGGCCTGCCTATGGGGGCAAACATGACTCCGACCCTGCCTATGGTCAGCAAGGTCACCCCAATACCTGGAAGCGAGAACAAGGATACACTCCCTCCGGAGCAGGAAACCAGAACCCTACTGGGATGTATCCAGTTGCTGGTCCCAAGAAGACCTATATCACTGATCCTGTTCCAGCCCCCTGTGCACCACCACTGCAACCAAAGGTAGGAAACTCACTAACTAGCGATGGGAATAAAGGGCTGCCTACCTTAGCCTACCTTCCCCAGAAAGCAGAGCCTAAGGCTATGTATATGCTATTTTTGTTTCATTAGAAAGTGCAATCCCAGGGAAGCATGAGTGAAGTAGGAAAAGAGGGATATCCTCTTGGGGCTATGGGGTTATATTGTTGATATGGCTACTGTTTAGTACCACGTGCATCTGATTATTCGATCTTAAAAGATTATCTTCCAAAAGATCATATGAACTAGCAGCTCAGGACAATCTGTTCATGCAGGGTGACGGGCGAAAACAGTTATCTTCCAGCTCTTGTCTCCTATTGGCCCAAGCTTCTCTCTGTGGATTAGAAACGTCCTCACACTTAGACATTGCATTTACTTGAGTACCAAATAAATCTGCAACATCTCATGCCTCACAGGGACAGGATATCTGCAGACCTAAAGGTGACAGGTCGGCATGGCAAACATGAGGTGAGCTGCTGTCAGGTTGGGCCCATGTGACAGTGGTCAGAACTCAAGCAAAGTTGGTACCACAGTGGCTGCTGGGACATAACAAGTGGCCAGTGGCTCACAAGACAGGTGAGGCCAAGGGGATATAAGGTAATGCAGACACCTTGTCTAGTTTCCTTTGGGAAGTGGATGCAGCGTAATGGCACTTGTTTATTGCCCCTTGTCTACCCACATCACTGATCTTCCAGGAAGAATCTTACTGTCTAGCATTTAACCCTATTAGGCAATTAAAAAATCTGTATGACAATTATCTTTTTCATTTTTTATTTAATTGTAAGCATGTATGTCTTTTAAGTCAACATGTGTAGTAACTTCCTTTGACTAGGTAAGATATAATATCATGCATAACCTACGCACCAACAGTTTTGATTTCCTTTGAGTACTAGAACCACCCTGATGATGTGTGTCCCATCTTACCATGAGGAGAGGAACCCAGGAGAATTACTTGGAAGGGGCGAGATGGAGAAACCAAGCTAGTTTCCAACCATTGGGTTGGGATGGAGCCCTCTGTTTCTTTCAGTTAGAGCTGTGAGAAATCAGAAATTGGAGAGCCAATGATTAGTTAGAAGCTGTATGGTAATTTTGTGAGATGAATTGAGTAGAAGTATGGAATGGATATATATATATATATATATATATATATATTCCCCCCCCCATCTTTTACACATTTGAGATTGTCATTTTCCAGACATACCATTCACATTTTCAACATTGTAACAGAAATCTGCCGGGTCTTCGCTCTCCAGACAGGATGCCTACTAAACCACTCTTCTCACATGAAAGCATCTGCTCTTTTAATGGTGCTCCAGCGTGATTTTCAGGTTCCTTACAGGAAAAGAACCCTTCCCAGCAAGTCAGGGAACTTACGAATGCCCGTTACATAAAAGTGGGCCAGCCGTGATCACTTTCCAACATAAAGTTTCCAAGTTAAAATGTTAAGTGTTTTGAAAACATTACTCTCAAAAAGCCTTCCTTTCTAAAATCTATGAAGGGGAAAAAAAAATGTTAGTAAGTTTGCATTTTTTTTTCTTTAATCTTCTCCGAAATAGCCAATTTGGATAGCCTTGCCCTTTGTTAACGTTACAGTATATTTGCATTAGTCCTTCCTGGCCCCCAAAGCAGCCAGTTCAGAAAAAAAAAAAAAAAAAAAAAAGAAAAAAAAATGGATTATTCAACTTCACCTCACTTTGGTGCAACTGTAACAGTTTCCCCTATGGAAGATTCAAGTGTAGGTTGGGATAATTGCCATTAACATGTAAGCTCAAATAGGTCTCTGTAATTTTGCCTCATCCAAAGCAGCATAACTGATCGGATGGCTGAGTGATAGGCCAAATGGGAAGAGATGCCCTAAGTTGTTTAAGCCTCTTATCACCCCACCTGGGGAAACAGACATGACGCAGAGTTAAAATATGTCCAGGTGGAAGTGCTTAATCTGGTGAGAAGGACTGAACCAGTCTTTGCATTTCCTGTCACTGGGCACTCAGGACAGCCCCTCTTCATTCAACATTTGGAGCCAATCCAGTGGCGTAGGGAAAGCATCAGCACCCAGTGAAAGACCTGGATCTAAGGTGTTGGGACAGGCCTCACTAATGGCATTGGGCTTGTCTGCACCAGGGTACTCAGGGTGATGGAATGAACGAGTATTAACCACTCACCAGAAATCACGGAACTTTATTTTCCTTCTTATTGTTGTTAGGTAGTTATTCAGGATGATCGATTTTTATTACATTATTGCAGATTCTGGATACCAGTGATTTGGTATCAATAAAAAAAAATTGTGGAATATTTGTTTTTCAACAGTGTCATGTGTTTTAACATCACATTGTACATTTAAAAAATGAAAACCAAATCATGTACTTTTCTCTGCAATTATTAAGGAGAGTGGTTAGGGGTTGATATTTAGCCATCTGTCAATGTTTTGAGAAAGGGGAAAGAGACTGATGAAGCTACAGATATATTCTGAGTGTGTTGTGGGGGCACTGGATGAAGGCATGGGCTCCTTCCCAGTTGGTCTTTGAGCAGAAACACTGCTGTATTCAGCTGCACCTGTGCACAGAGGACCTTATTGTCCCAATATTGACTCCGCTTGGCTTAGTGATGTGACTTCTGGCTTGAGAAATGAGCTCCTACGTCCAACCCCAGTTTCTCCCGTGACATTCCTCTTGCAGCTTGAGGAAATTCTCTAGACCTCTTTATGTCACGCTTCTAGCCTGAATAAAGTGGAACGTCATCGTCGCTAATTAATTAACGACTGCAAAGGGCTTGGAAATTTCCAAGGGCTGAATAATTGCCAAGTGAGGACTATTCAGGTTTTCACTGGCTCTCCCTTATTTCCAATTTTTTAGTCACTGATGGAAAACTTACCTTCATGCCTTAAAACAATTACCTTTTGTTACACTGAGACATTCTGAAGAACTGGGCATTTAACCCATTAAGGAATTTTTTTTTTTTAACTGAAAGAAATCTCCCCTGTATTTGAGATGAGTTGCTTTGATTTTCCTACATCATACTGCAGTTTAAAAGAAGAGGGAAGGGAAGGGAAGAAGAAAGTAGAAGGAAAAGAAAGAAGGGAAAAAAGAAAAAGAATCAAAGAATGAAGAAGAGAATTAGGAAAGGAGACAAAATCAGAACCTGCAAGGCTTGGGGGATTGTGATTATATCTGTGTTCCCATAATGTGCTGAGCAGTGAATTTGCATGCCACAGTAGACCATAATGTGTTTCCTGTACCATCTGAGCTGAGTTCCTTGCAAAATATTGTTATAAGCAAGTCTTTGTATGGGAGAAATGTTCCCTTCTCACTGGAAATCCTTTTAAAGACACAGTGGTGGGACCTTTTCTTTTCGCAGTTGTATAAAAGCTGAGGGCTGCATGTTGCTGTGCAGTTAGTTCACAGAGCTCTTGTCCTGAGCATTATCTTCACATCCCTATGAGGTAGGATGTGTGTTTTCTCCATTATTCAGATAAGATGAGTTAGCTTGCAAATCCCAGAGCTGGAAGCTGGAGGCCAGTCATCATTCTCAGGTCCGCAGTGGCAGGTCAGCTCTAGCACCCACTTCCTTGCCATAAACCTAATCCATGTGAGCCTCAGGTCTCTTAATGAGACAGCATTTGCCCTGTACTGTGCGAATGACATCGGCGCTATGCATCCTAGGAAAGTTGTGGAGGCCCACCCATTGTGGGGGTTAGGTTAAATTCTAAAACCATCTATTATTAACATTTCCTTGAAAAATTCTTCACAAGCATGAGATTTTGGAGAACAACAAACTACCTTCCAGTAACCTAACACAAAGTTTTTATTCACTCTTTCAGAGTTAGAACAGATCGCTGCTCTTCATTTAGTTTTGAATCTGGGGATATTTGATGAGTAAGAGAAGAGAGTTAAGGTAAATGACATGCCGGGGTCAGTGTTTAAGGGTCTGCAAGACCTGTCCTTTATGAAGATTAAAAAAAATAATTGAGAATGTCGATATAGTAGAATTTCAAGCATTCAAGTAATATCAAAATGTTTGTTTTTTATTGTGGAAAAGAGAAGGTCATATATATTGGGTATGCAACAAAGAATTGGTGATATCTGGTAGAATTATCTTTATGGTGATACCTGTGATAAGTATCTCTCAATTCCAGGATTAGAGAAAAAGAAAACAAAAGAGACGTTAGGGTGAGGAGAGGGATGGATTGTAATTGTGCCTCAGGGTAGGTGCTAATACCTGGGTATGTGTGAAGATGAGATTGCTTGAGGACACCAGTGACTATAATACCAGTAATTCCCTTAGTACAGGGCTTTTCAGCTTCTAAAGTGCTTTGTGGACCTCACAAAATCCATGCGCATTAAGCACAGAGGTTTTTGTCTCTCTTATTGATGAGGAATTCAAAACTCAGTAATGAGAGCCTCTCAACTAAGATATGTCAAATTCATGGGACAGCTACAACTCCAAGTTGGGTCTTCCAAAGATTGTCCTCATGTTTTCCTCGTGGAAAACCATGGTGGCGTGTTTTGGTGTTTTGATGGCGGGAGAGCCACATCAGCAGACTCTGCTGTGGCCCACGTCTCAGACAGGCGTGTAAGTGGTCTCAGGCAGTTGTCGTGCAGTGTCATGAGATCAGTACTTGGAGGGGAAGCACCCTTTCAGTCCCTGCCAGGAACCCGGGCTTGAGGCCTTGGGGCTATACTTCCTCTTCCACATCACCCTTGCATAGCTTGTCCCTATTCTTTCTAACTTCACAAGTATCTCAAATATGTTTTCTTACCTAACTCCCCATTGCTGCCTTCCTAGTTTAATTCTCATTTCTCACCTGACCCATTAAATTGGCCATAGAGGTGTCTCCACCTCTAGCCTCTCCACACCTATTCATGCTGAACATGCTACCAGATTAATCATTCAACCATACCGCTCTGTCCTTTTCATGAATTGCTGTTTTAAAAAACCTTCTGGAGTTCCCAGCCACCTAAGGAATGAATTGAAGCCCCAGCCTGGAT